GGGGTAAATTCAGAATAGGAGTTGAATGAAAAAGAAAGAAAAATCCAGTGAAGACAATTTTAGTAGCCCGTCCTGTTTGGTTAAGGCAAGGAATATAATAATTCCTTGTTTATGTATACCTTGTTTATGTTTATACCTTGTCAATCTGAAGAAGATAGTAATCAATGAAATCTTGTGGCTCATGCAGAGCGCTGTATTTCTTGTGCTTTTCTATTTCCTGCTTTGCAAAGGAAGTGATCACCTCTAGGGAAGCCAAGGCCTCCTTGTGAAGGCCTGGGAGGTAGCTCATTAATCGTGGGAACACAACAAGCAACTAATAGAAATGGAAAAGGAAAAGATTATTTATTTCTCCACTACAACTAAAGAAGACTCTAATCAGCTCACAGTAATAGACCACACTTAATAAACAAAGAAAAACATTGCAAGCACATTAAAACATGGCACCATACATGGTGGCAGATCTCAAAAATCTTCTAGAAAAGCCGTTCCTGAATTCTTGTAGAAAAGAATGATATAGGCAGATTGATTATTATAAAGCTATTATAAATTTCTCTTATTTTCTCATTGTCTCTAAGAGACTTTGTAAATATGTTTACCCTTGGCTAACTAAGCCAGGATTCAAAAAAATTAGATCAACTGGATTCACATGCAAAGCTAAATCATATATTAACTAAATGGATTAGATTTTCAATCTGCTAGCTTTTCATAACAGAACAACAGAGTTGGAAGGGACCTTGTAGGTCTTCTAATCCAACCGCCTGTTCAAGCAGGAGATTGTATATATCATTTCAAACAATGGCTGTCCAATCTCTTAAAATTACCCTGTGATGGAACACCCATAACATCTGAAGGCAAGCAATTCTGCATGTTCTCCCTGTCAGGAAACTTCTTCTTAACTCTAGATAGATTCTCTCCTTGATTAGTTTCCATCCATTGCTTCTTTTCCTGCCTTCAGGTGCTTTGGAGAACAGATTGACCCCCTCTTCTATGTGGCTGCCCCTCAGATATTGAAACACTGCTATCATGTCATCCCTAGTCCTTCTTTTCAATAGATTAGTCATATCCAAATCCTGCAACTGTCCTTCATATATTTTATCCTCCACACCAACCCCCATCTCGATCATTCTAGTTCTCTTTTCGGCATTCTTTCCAGAGTCACAGTTTAAACATGGGGTGGGCAGTCATCTAGTGGTGATATTGAAATGATGCATTTTTTTCATGGGCAGGACCACTTTGCTATAGTGGTTAATGCACCAATCTAGTAACTGAGATATTGTGAATACTAGTCCTAACGCAAGCACTAAGTCAACTGGGTGACAGTGAACAAGTCCCTCTCTCTCAGCCCTAGGAAGTAGGCAATGGCCAACCGCTTCCAAAACCTGGACTGCAAAGACTTCTCCAGGCTTTTGCTTTGAGTCAAGACTGATTCCAGGACAGACACACTACTGGGAATAATAGTACCATGCAATAGATGATTTCCAAGGCTTCCTTCATGGATTCCATTCATGTTTACATGAAATTATTAATAGAAACATAGGTTTGGGGGGAGCTTAAATATAAAACATGACTCACCGCATGAAAAAAGCCACCAGTGAATTTCACAATAGTTTCGAGGGCTTTAATTAACTTCTGGAAGTTTTCATCGTCACGAGGAAACTGATGTCCAAAACTCAAAGCACAGATGACATTAGAAATTGCATTTATTACTGGAAGTGATGGGTCAAATGGCTGTCCTGGAAATGAAGGTATTTTATAATGAATTTTTAAGGAACAGGGCTTGTAAGAGGATGAAGGAAGAGAATTGGGAACTTTGCCAAATGTTTCAAAAAGTTTTTAAAAAATCAAATCAAAGACATATGTTCTTTTTTGAAATACACAGAATGGGGGAAAAATTCTGCAGACAGAGACATGAGCCATTACCCAAAATTACATACCCTTTGTCTGTCTAAATATCTCCACCAATGTCTGAGCTCCATCTTCTATTTGATGCTCAATGCTTTTCTTCCCCAGGCCCAGCTTCCGCAGAGCAGTGATGCTAATGTGTCGCTGCTGTTTCCAGGTGTGGCCATTGGAGAAACCAATTCCTGAAGACATTATCAGATAGAGATAAATGATTCTTGATGAAATTCATGTTAAAAAAAAAAACAGTTCTAGTTCTTGCAAAATCTAGTTCTTGCAAAATATGTCTCTGGATTTCAGGTGGGAGTACCAAACCCTTCTGGCATATTGCCATTTTATAAGATTCTAAATTATTATCTAATTATTTGCTAAACAAATAATTCCCTCAACACTGTCCAACTATTTACAAAGTCTGCACTACTACCCTGTTTCTCCAACAATACGGCCTCCCCCAATAGGAAGTCCCAGCATGTTTTATAGGCATGAAATGAAATTAAGCCCCTCCCCCCAAATTAAGGCCTATATTAAAATATGCAAAATGGGGGGGGAATGGTGGGGGGGCTTGCCGTTAGGTAGTACTTTTGTTGCACACCCGGATATGGTGCTGCCTGCGTTGACCCCGATACGAAGTGCCCCACCAACGCCGAGGTCAACATCCAAGCCCTTGCCGCCTGCCCGAAGATGCAAAGGGGGGAATTAAGTCACCCCCGAAAAAACAGCCGAAGCATTTTTTCGGGGCTCAAAAAAAAAAAAAGACCTGGCCTTATTGTATGAGAAACACGGTATTACTATTAATCTTCTCATCACTCATCACCCATCCCTTCCCACTGTACCTTTGTTGCTTGTATCCTTATATTGATTGTTCCTAGTATGCTATCCTTGTGTTGATGCAACCTAGAACTGCACTGGCTTTTTGGCAGCTGCAGCACACACTATCTCATACTTAAGAGGTGATCAACTAGAACACTTAGACCCCTCTCACAAGCACTACTTTTGAGCCAGGCACCATCTTTTCTATACTTATGCATCTGTTTTTTTTTTTGACTAGGTGCAGGACCTAATGTTTCCCACCTGTGAACTACATCTTATTGGATAAGGCCCAATGCTCAAGTCTGTCAAGATCCTTCTGCATCTTGAGCCTATCTTCTAATGTATTGGCTATTCCCCCCCCCCCCCAATGTGGTGTCATCTTCAAATTTGATGAGTTTACCTTCTATCCCATCTATAAATTAGAATAAAAATAGAGTTAGAAATACATTATTCCATTCTCTTTAATAAAACAAAGGATAGAGGTGTAAGAATTCTAGCAAGTCAACTAATTTTCATTTTAGAACACACCCACCCTGCTCTCCAAATATACAATTCCACAGTGATGATGTGGAGAATGAAAGGATTTAACGACTAAGTGTCTGCAAGAAATATAAATCCTCCCATCCTGCACCATTCAGTCAGAAATGAAGAAAATTATTGGATTAGAAGCGAAACATCTTCAAGGAAAGCAAAAGTCCAGTTGCCTTTTGAAAAAGCACCTTTGGAATAATCAAATTTATCATTCAATTTGGTGTGAATGTATTCATAAAAGGAACTATTCCATAGGGGAATATAGAAGGATGGTGAAAACA